GGGGACATGGAGGTAGGAAGCTGAGATACAAGCGTCTAGTTACAGAGCAAGTAGCAGTCGGAAACCAGAGATCTCCAGAGACTTTTGGGAACTGGATGATAAACATTTATATATTATAACGGCAATAATTTAGGTACATTTCTATCAAATTGTTTATCGTCTAGGAGCACGTAGGTCATCGCGAAAACGCAGTAGAGTGTAGGCAGTCAGGGTCACTGGACGACGGAGACAAAATGGAGGAAAGGTATAACAGAAACGAGAACCAAGATTCTTATATTAGCTCGACATCCACAGTCATACACTGCAGTGCACGAGAATTTGAAGATGGATATATATTCCTGCGTGGGTGGCGACAGGTGAAGACAGCTTGAAGTTTGAGTGGAAAAACCGAAAAAGGCCTTCTGATGCGAAGTTTATCACCATTGCAGGTATTACCTCGCTTCTTATGGAGTGGCTACATTTCACCTTAATGTTTGGTCTTTCTTTGTTGGCCCTCTGGAGAGGGCGGTAAAATGTCTTCTTGGAACGGTACAAGACGATATTGTCTACAAACTACAGAAACTGTGTGGGAGAGCTTTGTTCCACCTTCGTAGCTCAGATAAGCAACGATTGAAAACCTTTTCATGAGATGTCCCTGAGCCCAGGCTTCCCCCCTTAAAATCGTGTAGGCTGTAAAAATAGGCAGATGTGAAGGAAATCTTCGTTCATTCATTTTTAACCTTCGCACTGGATGGAGTTCAGTGATGACCTTCAGACTGCAAAGTGCCCCCGGTACCCAGTAAGTGGGCCGCAGAACCGATTTGGTTGTGGTGGCGGATAGAAAAGGCCCTGTCCATGTCGGGAATCGAACCCCAATTGTCCACGACGTCACAAGTAGGCTACATGGGTATTTCGTCCCACCCCCTTCGTGTTGTGAGGGACTGCTTCAAGTATTAGGATGGGGGTTGGTAAACTGCGCCCTGAAATCCAGATGCGTTCTGTCTAAAGATCACTTCGGCACGAGACCTTGTTTCGTCATTAGTAATAATAACATTTTTGTACTTTCTCATGCGTAGTAGACCTATAGATGATGTTCTATATTCCCAATAAATCTATATATTTACGGCTATACACATTTAGGAGCCCTGATACTGTAATTTACGGTAGCCCTAGAAGCGAATAACAGGTTGTCCTTGCCCATTGCGATTTTAAAACCAGCTGTACAGTCTTTTCTAGAAGCTCTGGGGAAAACTTAGGAAACCTGCTTTCCTTTAAAGGCTTGCAGGCTTTGTATTAGGTTAGATCTACATGTTATCTCCATACTTTTCAGGCGAATATAGCACGATCGCTTCCGTCGCGTAATCACACCATCACAACTTTCTGAATAACCTTTGAAGTTTACGCGGGGCACCGCGACCTGCGAGCCGTGATTTCCCCCCCCCCCCCCCCATTCAGGCTGTCATCACCGTGCCTAAGCAGCATGGCACCAAGACGTCTGTATTAGGACGGTATCGCACTAGGATGCCATGGCAGCGACACCAACAGCGATGCCA